AAAATATTTTGTGAGTGCTTAAAAGTGTTTACAGCTTCTTTTTTATATGATAAAAGGGCAAATAAGAAATGCAGTTTTTATTTAACAGTTGCCCTTTTGGAATAAGTCGCAAATGTGTTCTAAAACTAGATTCTTTGGTACTCATATTAGCCACCTTGTGTGCCAACAATTATTTTTTACAAACGCTTATGCTGTTCATTGAATACTGATAAAAATCATTGGAGTGTTGAATTATTGCTTATAAAGGAACAATAAAAGGCCTCTTGGCTAAAATATGTTATCTTCCAATCTTATTTTACTTCAGTTTAAAACCGTCGTTGAACATCCGACCAGGGTTTAAGCTGAGTCTAAAAATTCATTAGCAAAAAAGCTAAAATCTGAAAAAAAGTTTTAGCAAAATGCTAAAATGCCATTAGGCTTATAAAATTACTTTATATCAAACAAGTACTGTAAGTTATCTGACAAAGAATAGCTTAATGTACAAGAATATCAAAAAGAATACCTAAAAAAAAAAAAAACACATTTATTATTTATCAAAACATTTTGGTTTATAATTAACAATCTTCCTTTCTTTCATGTTTGCCCATTTTACAAATGCTTCTTGAAAGTTAAATGCACTTTCAGGGCCCTCAATATTAATCATTAACAAATTGTTTACATGGTTGATTAACAACCTGTTTCGAATATTAGTTTTAATCAAATTAAGGCAGCTAAAGCCCCTTTCACAGTCAACAGTGTGCATTGGTATTGTTGCACAATACTCTATAACAGAAGTTATTAATGGGTACTGTTCAGACACATCATTGGTATATAAAAATAAAAGTAATTCATTAAATGACATGTTTTTACATCGTTGCATTAAGATGTGTTTAAATAATCCCCATTCACAAAGTAATTCAGTTTCTGTAAAGTTTATTGGTTAGTTTATTTGTTGGTTTATTTATCTGTTTATTTTTCTTTTCTTCTCGGTGAAACTCATATATTCTAGCCATTTTTGTTGATCGCTATGCTTCATCTCGTTTGATCACGTTTTTTTCGTGAACGCTAGCGTCATGGTTCTTCTTGCGAAAGATATTTAGATTTTTTCTCCTTCTTGTTTGATCAAGTTTTTTTCATGGATGTTAGCGTCATGGTTTTTCGCGGAAGCTTTTTTTTTAATGGAATTTAGTAAAATCCTTTAGCAAAAATGCGAAAATGCTTTGTTGAATTTTAGCATTTTTGAGGGGTCTTTTCGCATTTTGCGAAAAAAGCTACCGTAGCGGAAACCCTGCATCCGACCCAATTATTTGGGGTTTACGACTACTAATGTTCAACTCCGTAGCCTTGTCACTTTGAACCTAATCCAGAAGACAGGGGACCTCCTGGATCGAGTACTGGAAGAAATTTGCTTTCGTGGAGAACTTTTTGATGTAACTAACCCGCATGAAGAGAGAGAGAAAGAAGAATTGCTGTCTATTATGATGCTCACTCACATCTACCAGCAGAAGACCCTGAGGACTCTTCCTTGATTATCCCGAGTTAATTCGGGTATCTTCATAACCCAAGAAGACTCGCTCGTAGCAGAATTTATCAGTTTGTTTTGTTTTCATCACGTTTTTACTCGGCTGGAAGCAAACAAAACATAATCTGCTGTGTTTGGAAATGTGTCAAATTTTGTTTTGGAAGTTTTGCTGTTGGATTGTACACTTTGTGCGATTGCATACACGATGGTTACTGAATTTCCATAAATAAAAAAAAATGGCGTATCACCTCACTGGCGTTTGGAAAGTATCACTTTGTGTTGTTCCTTGTTTTAAAAACTATCCTACAAAAACTAACATTTAAATTTTTTCATCATTTGCCCGAGATAACTCGGGATAGTAAACTGATTTTAAATTTTTACGCATAAAAAAAAACATTTAAAAATTCAACTGAAATCTTGTGTATTATGTATTGTTTTAGTTCCTTGTATTTATTAATGAAATAAAAAAATATGTTCACTTTTTGCATTTTCAAAAAAATGGTGCTTAAAAATACTCCAATCTTAAACTTCTGAATAAGAACAACTTTTCAAAAAATAAACAATACTGAAGTTTTTCACTTGACATGCTTAAGCTAAGTCATAGTAATCCATAAGGGAGGTAAATAAAAGGTGTCTAAACGAACGCAGTTTGAATTCCTCATTTTCGGAGACTAGCAGCTCGCCGTTACTTAAGTATTTCTGCTAAAATATGAAGATTATAATGATCATTTTTAAATGTTGAAAACTTTCTTTTAAAGAAGTCAAATCTCCCTGTATAAATTAATTTACGATGAATTTAACGTATCAAAAGTGTACTAAACTTGATGAGGACATTCTATATTGAAGTCTATTATATTGCAGTCAATATCTGGTTATGGAAGTTATACAGTATTTCATTGAATACAGTCTTCAATTATGAGACTTCACTCTTTTAAGATTCTATGTAAAATCTTAATTATCAGGTGATAACTCTATACAGCTTTATTATTTACACGTGACTGTTTACATTCGTGTATCAATGGGTTAACATTGTCATGCAATAGGTTAAAAATAAATACAAATAGGAAGTATGTCAAAAAATCACCCGAATTAAAACCCATTACACGTGTGTTTAAATATAAAAGTATTGTGGATGAACTCGTGCAATTATTAATAAAAACTACAGTGCGTCTAATCATTTGATCTAATTATTATAATGCACTAATATAATATATGTTCTATATTTATATAATATATCATCTAGTTTATATAATCGTCGAATTTATATTATGTAGCGCCTCATTTAACCCATGGATCAGTGTTGCCAGATTGGGCTACTTTTAAAAGTCCCCGCTACTGAAAATCGAATTTGGGCTACCCATTATTTTTCAAATCTTAAAAATGCACCTTTTTTTTTCTTACAGAAGTATTTTTTTAATATTTTTCCTTTCCCATTATAAAACTATTCTGAAAAGTCTGCAGTTTCTTTATCTTTCTTAAAAAAAGAATTGTTTTTTTTTCTCTTCCTGAAAATGCTTTAGTTTTGGATTCTTCATTTGTTTTGCTGCGCGGAGTCTAGAATCTCTCCATATCTATGCTTCAAATTATAGACTCGTGAAATCGCAAAGATATAGATGGAAAAATGCACGGCCTAGTATGAAAAGCTTTTAACTCCAACCATTATTAATCGTTTATCTTCTGGAAAAATCACGTGACCTTTAATCTGAGTTAAAACGGAATATTGAATTTGACGAACTTTTAAACGCAATGCATTGCAATTTATATATATATATATAAACAGGTCTTAGGCAGGGAAGGAGGGTACGAAATTTATATATTAATTATTAGACAGAGAACAGCTATAAAAGTAGTCACGAAATGTTATGTTCTTCATTATATGTGACTGAGAAACTTGCAAAGTAAGTCCGTAAAATGTTTCAATTTAGGGAAAGAGGGAATTCTTAGTAATTGTAATTGGTTTATTAAGTAGGTCGCGCGATTCCCACCAAGAACAAAGGGAAAAATGTCTTACTTTTAATTAATGCATGCTTAAGCCCAAAACAGATTTAGGGAATGGATGTGAACTTAAAAGTGTGAGAAAGTGTTTCGATTAGAATTCGATTCGAAAGGATTTACAGAAAAGGAATAACATAAAAAGATTAATTGAAGCCTTTTATGTTANTATATAACATAATTTTGTTGGGCTAAAAAATGTTCTCTACTTTTGGATCTCCCATTCGCTACTTTTTAATCTTAAATTCTGGCAACACTGCAATGGATACACTAACTTAAACAAGTGCAAACGATCTCGTAAAAACAATAAAGTTGTTATAGTATCAACTGATAATTAAGATTTTACGTAGAATCTTTTAGTGCGTCTCATAATTTGGCAAAGAACTGTATATGAATGCCCTGCCTATTAAGCGATAATTGGTATGAAATTTGTATTATTTCGTATAATCTGCTTCATTGTAATGAATTCTTAGGTGAGGCATACAAATAATAAACTATTTCAACGAATAAAAGCTGCTGCGGGGTGAGGAGGCAATATCGAAAGAGGAATGTCTCCTTTTGTCAGACAGCACGTGCAGACGACACAGGGCTTTCCCCCCAAATGAATAACGGTAGGGTCCTTCAATTCAAGCTGTTGCGGCGATCAGTTTCTCATAACACGAGTGACATATGATATGACACTCCCATTTATTCTTGTATCGACTTTTTTTTTCTTTTCGATAAAACTAGATTTTTCTCTTTCTAACAAACTCGAGTCATTTTATTTTATTTTATAACTGTCATTAAACAGCCATTTTTTAGGTGTACGACTACCCATGTTCAACCACGTAGCCTTGTCATTTTGAACCCATTCCAAAGGGAACTCCTGGTTCAAGTACTGAGAGAAATTTGCCTTCGTGGAAGACTTCTTGATGGAACTCACCACATTTGCGTTACATGGAGAGGAAAACCTCCCAGAGATAGCCTGACGGCAAGGGGACTCTAACCCATGATCCGTCTGCCACTGCGGATATTTTGCGTCAGCACAGTTGCAAGCCGGATTGGGAATTCGAATCGACCAGCCATCGTTGGGATTCGAACCCAGTTCACCTAGTTGGAAGGCGATCGCTCTATCCCCTGAGCCATCACGGTTTTAAGTTGATCCATTGGCAAAATCTAATTTCGAGGACACTTCTTATTTTAATAAGAGTTAAAATCAAAAATAAAAAAGCACGGAATTATAGATTGGTTTTACATAAAAATATGATTCTTTTTTGCATTTTCATAACAACGAAATTGCTTAAAAAGCGCTCTTAGTTGCAAATCTTAGCCCAAAAATGTTTCAAATAATTCTCTTAACTAAGGAAGGCGGGACTGATTGCATAAGTAAGAAGTTTCATCGGGCAATCAAACAAATTTTGGATGTTTTTCAGCCCACTTTCCTCATTAGCGATTTTCTCCCGTTGCTTAAACATTCTCTTTTCAAGCGTTTTCATGCATTAAAGACGAATTCTTATTTTTATTGTAGGCAGTTGCTATAGTGAGTGAAATGTTTAAGAAACACAAGGAACTCTATAAGCAGGCATTAGTTGCCTCTTTCTTCCCGTCTTTCATTTATCAAGTAAGTATCAGCTCTTCTCATTCCATCATTTGTGTACTGTGTGACTCATGCAAACTAATTTTTTTTTAAGCTTAAAAAAAAAAATTTTTATTGGTATTCGAGACTTTTTAAAGTCTTTTTAGTGAAGGTTTGTTTTTTTTCTTGCTTTCTAGTTCAAAAAAAAATTTCTATTTTATTTCAACTACAGTTTTTTAATTATTTAGTTTTATAGTCACTCTGCCTATGCTACAACGATCACGTTGATCATTCAGATAAACGTGCATAACGGATAAAAAATAATTGAGTATGACAGAAGATGCCAACCAAAAATGTTTCGATTAAAACTATAAGCTAGCAAAATGCAATTGTTAAAATATTTAACGAAACAGAATGGTTGATAGTTGAATTTAAAAACAATGACTTCCGCTAAGTGAACGAGAAAATTCCATTTTTTGAACGCCTCTGAATTAAAAATCGAAAATCTGGTTTCGTCATTTGTTTATAATTGTACTCATTTAACTTCATGTCGTATTTCTAGTGCCTACAGTATTCCCGCAATCCGGTATACTGAGACAAGAATTCTTTATTTTATTATGTATGTATGTATATCTTTATATATAAGAAGAGAGTGGAATGATAACACATAACCAATCACAAAAGACTTTTGGTTAGTAACGCACGAAACAGCCAATCAAAATTGAGAACGCATGNTCTTCATATCCAGTTCTGCTGCAGATGTGTTATAGCTCTTGAGGATGTTTGAAGATGTAACTTTGCTATGGTAACCTAAGGCCTATGGTAACCTAACCTATAATATAACTATCAGGTGGAGACTTGTTTTTTTGTTTTTTTTTAAAAAGGCCTCAGTAATTGTAAAAGCATACAAAAGTTGCTTTCGAAATCATCATTGGCCAATAGCTGAAAGATCATCTTCCAATCTTCTTTGACGTTCCTCAGGTGTTTCTCGGGTCCTAGCACTGCTAGTTGAGACATGATCTTCTTCTAATCTTCTTTGAAGTTTCTCTGATACTTCTTGGGCTCTAGAATTGCTTGTCGAAATTCGGTCATGTTCCATCCTTCTTTGACGTTCCACAGACGTTTCTTGGGCCCTTCTTCTTCTTTGAGAATCTCTTAATATCTTTTTCTTTGACAAAATACAAAGTTTTTTGGAAGGCGGTTCTGCCATGTCATGATATGATGGGAAGACGATTGCATCTGGCACGGAATGTTGATGACCTCGTTCGACAATTGGATCGAATTTGGTTAATAAAGTAAATTAACAGTCAAAATTTATTTTTCCTCAATTTTAAACCAATAATCAATTTGAAAAGCAACTATTTTCCTTCAGTTACATTAGTTCTTTGAAACTTATTCTATACTTAAAATACGTGACATCACTATACATTTCTGCTACTTATCTTTTCTGTACAATAAGCTCTTAAGCAATAGAAATAAATCACAATTTTGAAACAAATCTATAATTTAAAAATTTTAACAAAGTATCTTAACAAGCAAAACTTAAGTATCCTCAATTTTAAATCAAAAATGAAATGTAATACTCAAGATTCTCAAAATTTTCCTTCTAATAAATCAAAAAGGAGTAAGAAAACTCTTAAATTGGCAACAATCATCTTTTAAATATAATTCCTTAAAAAGCTCGTAACAAGCATTTTCGGAAATGTTAATCTCCAATAAATGCTAATGAAAAAAGGAAAACGCTTAATTCTTGGAAAAAGTTTTCCTTTTCGTTGAAAAGGGGATTAAGATACGTCTGTAGAGGCTTTGCTTTTCATAAATTGCTGAGCAGCTGTGCTCGACATGTGCT